TGTTAACGTGTTTCTCATTGAATACGAGTATTTATTGGCTATAAAGTTTAAGATAATTATCTAGGTAAATACAATTATAATTATAATTACCTGTCACAAAAAGCACAGCATATAGTATACTCCACAGGCAAATCACGCAAATGTTTACAACCAGTGATACATAGATTAGTAAACGATTTTGGATTCGTATGTAAACTAGCACAATTAACACCGAAAATACTGCCGATATTATCGTGAATAGTGTGGTGATGAGGAACGGTAGTAGAAAGTAATTATACGGCAGTTGACTATACAATTGGCAGCAATTATCGGGAACACCCTTTTCAACTATTATTGTATCCATTTTTATTAAGATCTAGGTAATTATATGTCAATAACACATATTTACAAAAGGTGTGTTGATTATAAAATTTATTTCAATAAAATATTATTATTAAATGTATTTTTAGTCTACTCATCACTGACTGAACACATGTATGATAACATAGGTGTTTATTATTTGACATGTTAATCACGATTACCTGGCATAAAATAATTTCTATTATTTCTATTACATTGAGAAATGTGTTTACGATCTCAATGGGACAGACATTAAGGCTATTTATACATGACTTTATGACATGTGGTTCACCACCATAATTACCAACCAGACAATTAAATACCGTTTCATTGTGCTAGATCTACCCGCGTTTTAAATAATTATAGGTCAGTATGGATGTCCAGGTCTATTCATGGTACTGGATATGATGGATATTGGATGCATAATCGTAATAATTTAAAAATAATTTTTATTTAATCTTATGTTAAATTATAATTTACAATGAATGTGAATAATTGGTTCACTGATATGTATTAGTATGACTACAAACATAATAATTGCAAATATTTGTATATTGATTAATTTGACATTAGACAAATATTTATTCACAAAGTGTCATAATTTTACATTTTATTTGCTGTTAAATAAATAATAATTATCAGAATAATTATATTAAATTAAATTCTACTGGTATTAACCCTAATTGCTTGTTAGAGTATATAAATTTTATTATACAGTTATAATTAACAGTTATTAATATTTGTTCAGTTAGTTTTTTGCTTGCTAATTAGCAAACAGATCATAATTAACACACAAAACGCTATAATTTCCAACAGAGCGCCGGCAGATAAACCATACATGAGTCGAGTGGAGTAGTCGTCCCCTTAATTAATAAATATAATCAAAATATACCAAAAATTATAACAATTTAATAGATTATTATACAATACCTGAGATACAAATAGCGTATAATATTAGCCACAGACAAATCAGTAATATATTGATGACCAGGGACACTTTTAGGTGAAACCCAGTGTCAGTACGATTCCACAGAATCATCGAAACAATTGAAAATAGCGTTAAAATAAATGGCATTTGAATGGTCCATAGGAATGGCCATATGGTGTGGTAGGGCTGGGCGGACAGGTAGGTTAGGCCAACACATAAAATGCATAAACATTTGATGACAACTTCACTGTTGTTTTTCATAGACGGCCTGTTTATTAGAGTGTAGTTCCGTTGGTTACCGATTGAATCCATTTCCCCAATAAATTTCATAAATGCAATGATTATTGTATTCAATACTAAACGGACTGTTAGTTTGTAGAGCACTGGTAGGTGACTAGGAAATGTGTAATTAAGAGTCAGTATTAAAAACAAAGCAAGCTTATTTATTTCAAATTATTCATAATTTAATCATAAAAATGTACATAATTCATAAAATAAAACATAATAAATCATTACAAGTCATTAAGAGCCTGGTGAACTATGAAGTCTTCATAAAATAACAAAATAATTATCTATGTTTATAACTATAATTATTATTCATTTAATTATAATTACTATAAATATAATTAAATTATGTTTTATTGGGAATAATGCACTGAATTATAGTCCAAACAACGATTACTATATACTTGAAAATAGCACCAAATCTTACGATACCTATGATGTTATCCTGGTAATTATCACCTAAAAATTATAAACATTAATTAAATTCCTTTTAAGTTATCTAGTTAATTTATGCACATCAAGATACCTATTAGATAGAGAGTAACACATAATGTAATCCACAAACAAATCGCACAAACATTGGCCACAAATAGTACTTTAAATAATAATTTATTTCTGAAAACACATAACAAAACCCCAAATACGGTACACATCGCGAGCACCAGTAGTACGTAGGCAGTGGTAATCAGGAACGGTATGTTACGTAAGCAATGGTTATCGATGAGGGATATACACCATAAAAGTGAAGCCAATATACAGTTACAGACATTCGTGACATACAATACACGAATGAATTTGAGACGACTGTCCCCATGGCCCGGACATTCATTTGTGGCCACAGGCTGACTGTCCGGTGGGATAACATTCATGGATCGGCCGCTACGGACATCCGTTTGTTTGCCGTGCAGTCGGCAACTGATATCCACAGGATTGTTAGCTTTTGGTTCAACCATTTTATGGGTGTTTATAATTATCTGATTACTGGAGCACTGGTATGTGATTTATATAGTCAACTATACATTACTGTGTTACTAATGACCTGTCTCATTTTTAGTTTAAAGTGAATTTTAAGTTGAAATTACTTTTTATTTTAAGGAAACCTATTTTATAAAGTTTATAAAATATACAATAATTTTTGATATTTAATTCACACAAAATAAACAAGTTTTAGCATCAAGATAATTTTTGTGATTTATTAATTATGAAGTAAGTAAAATAGAATTTTTAATTATAATGTTAATTTATAGCTTATTATAATGATTTGCAATTAATAAATAATAAATTTTATCAAATAAAACTACTGTTATATAAAATTAGTTTTAAATTATTTGGCATTATTAGTCCTAACAATAATCATTATAGTAATTGTTATATTGATAAATAAGTACAAAATCAGTATAGTGGGCAGTAATAACACCCTGTCCAAATTAAAGGCATCTGAAATAAAATGAAAATAGTTGGTTATGCAATATACAGTATATATAAAATAATAAAGTTTTAAAACTAATTACAAATTAGCCGGGCATTTAGGATATCATCAAGGTTGATTAACCAAATATTGAGCACACCGATGCTGACAAATAGCGATATATACAATAGGAGCAGGGTGCCATTATTATACCAATCGATAAGGGCACTCAAATGAAACACGCTTATTAATAAAGTGAGTGTCAAGGATAGTTTGTAACATTTTACTAGCTTAGGTATGTCGGCGGTACTGTTGTGGTTAGGTGTTATAATAGCCCAGGTAGGTGTGATTACCGTAAGTTTATTTTTTACTTTATCAAATTTTCTAGCCATGGATACCTGTGCTGGACAATATTTAAATGTAAGTATAGAATAGTTTATTATCCATGGTAGTATGGCATACAATAAATAAATAAATAATACCTACTACCCCTTTAAATATGAAATGTTTAATTAAGTTAATTTACACGTGAATGGACAGGTAGTAATAGGCACAGACGGTATTTCTAGACTTAGGTGTTAGTAATAATTAATTATTTTTTGATCATTTTTAATATTATTTTTATTAATTTTAAAGTTTTATAATCCATTTTAAGTTACAATTAATTTATAATGCATACAACATTATAATAGCTAATATTTTTATAAAAACTTTATTAATGTTTAAAATCTTTACTTATTTTGTATAGAATAATTAATATTAGCATCTAGGTGACAATGATTTATTAATTCTCATAAAGCATATCTAAATCCATGATAATTACAATTTGCAATACAATGCATACAATTAAACTGATTATCGTCGCAGTCGTTAGGCTTAACACGTGTCGCAGATTAAGGCGTTTAGCGTTAGCTGTAAATACAAAACATTTTAAAATATACAGGGTTAAATTAAATAATTGACAAAACCTGACCTGAGCCCAATACGTCATAGATGTTGACAATCCACAGACAAAACACCCCGGTGTTTGCAAATAGCCCGATATATATTAGCAGCAGATTGTCATTACTATACCAATCAATAATACCAACGATAGTAAACACTAATAGTAGTAATGTTATAACATTTGATAGGTTATAAGTTTTTGATAATCTCGCTACAAATGCCCTGGTGTTGAATACAGGTGTGATAAACGCCCAGGTAGACGCTGGATCTGTACCATTTCTGGTGTTGTTTGTAGTTTTCTTGGTCCTTTTCATGATAGCCATTGATCTTATAGATACCGGTGCTGAGCAGCAAATTAATTAAATAATGTTGGCTTAAATACTTTGTTAACTAGATAACTTTGGTATGACACTAGTGAACTAGGTTAAAATGTAGCGAACGTTTTATAAATTAATTATATAGATACCGGTGCTGAGCAGCAAATTAATTAAATAATGTTGGCTTAAATACTTTGTTAACTAGATAACTTTGGTATGACACTAGTGAACTAGGTTAAAATGTAGCGAACGTTTTATAAATTAATTATAAACACAAAGTAATTCATCAGGCAACACTTTTAATATGAAACACAATATTTTCAAGCAATTCAGTTGATGTTACAATGTATACACGTATAGTGAGCCTGAATGTCAAATACTGTCCACACGTTTGACACCAAAAAACCAGTCCTTTTCAATGACTCCCCAACCCTTTTATGGCACCTTTAGGTGAAACTATGCCATAAACCTATTTATTCAGCGAAGTTTGTATGCCTTTCCACACCCATTCCCTCACGATTTCTATTTATATAAACCTCTACCAGTACTTAAAGTTGTAAAACTATATGTTGTTATTTAAAACTTATACATACTGTTACTTTAATATGTGAAATATAAAACCAAATTAATATAAACATAGTCTTATCGTACGATTAATGTATAAAACTACCAATAAAATCAAAAATGCATAACTTTTGAAATAACATTATTTAATTGGTTTATAAAACAACATTTTACTATGATCAGTGATCACCCAATCAACATTTCTCATAACATTTTATGTAAAAATAATAATCAAGGTACAATTATTTTATAATAAACAAATAGTTTTACTGAACAAACAATTTTAAAATATTCAAATCATCGCTGTATTACTAACGCAATGCTATTTAATAACAAAAATATCCTAAACCTTAATCACTGGAATTAAATGGTCATATTGTCGGGTATGGGATCCTCGTACTCCATGTGCTCGTCCACCAGGTCTGCACTGAAACAGCATTCAAAACACTGATGGCGTCTCTCATCGGCGATATCCGCCAACTCCTCAATGGATTCGCCGGTCATTTGATCCGATTGTGTGAAATCGACGCAAACTTTGGCCGGTTTTGTCAAATACCTACCGATGGCAGCGATGCTGTCGGCGCTCATACGGGCCGTGAGATTCACTTTCTCTAACTTTGGACACAACCCCAGGAGCTGTATCTCATTGGCGGTGAACTCGGGTGGCGAGGGATCCCAGTCCTCGATGAACTGGAACTTCAGATGAAAGTCACGCAACCGTTTCATAGCCGACACTTCGCCGACAAATTTGTTGAACTCATGGGCCGTGAACTCCGAGTTCCACCCGTCGCCTAATATGAGATACAGGCGCTCAATGGTTGGGAACTGTTGGCCGATGAGTGGCATACATGTGATGTCAAAGAATAGGACCCGTAGTTCCCGTAATCGACGATACGGTCTGTGAGCCATGTCTTGTATGACATCCCGTGTGAACAAATATCCCGTCGTATGGATCACTCGTACGCCAGTATTCAAGTGTCTATATACTGACGGGTCGTATACCGGACTGTCGGGCGTATCCATACAATAGGTGTCCAGAAGTACAAACACTTCCAGTTTTGGCAGTTTCTCGAGCAGTGCATCGATGACAGGCTGTCCTATGTTTAGGTTGAATGCCTGCAACTGTAGGACCCGGATGTTTGGGTGAAAAATAGAAAATAAAAGGACTTCCGATTCGTGTATATATACCATTCGGTTACCGCCGCATACAATGGACAGGCACTGGAGGTCCAGCCGACAGGGATACAGCATAACAACTGCCCACAGGATATCCCTATCGATGGTCGACTCGACGAGACGGATGAACAGTTGCCTTATGTTTGGATATTTGGCCACAATTTTGGTCAGAATTGTCTGAAATGTTTGTCCATTGGCTGTGTTTGGCATGAATTGTCTCAAACTGACCTCATATTTGTTGGCATAACTACTGTATCCGTAGGGCTGGTCGTCAATGTGCTCAGAGTCCCCGTCTTTGACCAAAAGAGTGGTGATGTTTGCTCACCACTGGTCGGACACATCCCTCCATCGCTGGCATACAGTCTTCACCCTAAGGACTGACCGGTCATCCAATTTGGCCAATATCTCGGCCAACATCTCATCCGGTAAGTCGTCCATCACTTTGGGAACCATTGCTATATTGATGGTACTGTCCTATCAGTCGTCCGATACATAGAAATTACGTTTTCAAACAATAGGCAAAAAATATAAAAATCTTATTTATTGAGTTTAATAACAAAAGTTTATTTTTAAATTTTTAAACATTTCAAGATTTATCAAATTTAAAACTGTTTTTGATTAAGAATTATATTTGAATTCATTATTTGTCTGTTTATTGTATGAAAAATGTTTTTAATTTTAAATCATTACTACAGTGTAGTCAACATTTTATATGAGACTACTTCACAACTCTTGTTGCCAATTATGTGTCAGCGAGCACACCATACATAATGAGTATTATTTCTTTGTGAAATATAATAGCCTTGTTAACATCGATGTAATATACTGTTAAATAAAAAAAAGTATTTACAGGTATATTGATTTTTTAATTTAAATTAAAATTAATTTGAATACAAACCGGCATTTGCTTTTTCAAATGATACTGCTCACTAAACGGTGTATTTGCTTGAAAGTTATACGCCATACGCATATTAACAATCGTGAGCAAAGTCATAAAATCCTTATCTTTATGAACTTGGTTGTAGCAGTATTCATCAAGCACACCGGCTAGGGCTTGAATAAAATACGAGCCATTTATTGAGTTTCGAAATGATACTGTTCCTATTATTTTTAAAAAATTTTTTAGTTTATATTTTATATTTTAGTTTATATTTTATATTTTAGTTTATATATTATATTTTATATATAAAAGCAAAATTACCTTGTAGCGAGCTATAGTAAATTAGAAAATCAGCGGCTAATGGAATTTTGTATGTATCATACAAATTTTGATCAGTAATACACACTCCCGAGTCTAAATTTGTCCAGTTTATACCCATTGAACACGCCTAATAATGAAATTTTAATCATTGTAGTACTAATTGTTTAAACTGACCTGAACAATAAAGATTTTAGGCTTTCCAATTAGGGTTGGGCACCGATCCCCGTAGAGATAATACAATATAGAATCTAATTTATATTTCGAATTTCTGGACCAGATGAAATTATCATCACCGTGGGTTAATAGCGTAATTACTATACAGTCCGTGTCCGAGTGGTTTTC